ACACATGAATGAAGCGGAAGTTTATAGACTTATGAATGTGATAAACAATCATATATTCATGTTTGGAGATGCAGTATGTGTTCACCATCTTATTTATACGAACTAATGAGGACTTTATGACAGATGTTTATCAAAACATATTTAGATTTATCTACCGATCAATTCTCAGTGTGTATTTTTGATCGTTCTCTAGGGATGTATTTGTGAAAAAGTCTGCAAACTTTAATTTTCATATAAACAAGTAATCATCAACTCTATCAAGGCTACAAACACACTGAGCAGTTTTAGTGAGATCATATAGACACCATACTGTATTTTGTGTTAGAAGTGATGAATCGAAATTAAGCGCAACAATTAATATTTACTGAATGTTATCTCCATGATTTAATCTCTTGCGTTAATTTCAAATGCAGATTTGCCATCAATGTACCTGAAAGCTGACTAAAAAATTCGTGATAAAAGTATCAGGTAGTGCTTTAGTTCCTCGATGTTTGGTTCGGATATCCTCATAATATTGATTAAAAGATGTTACCTCATAAATAGTTTCTTTAAGAAAACGTTCCGGAACTTTGTGAGCTTCAATCTTTGGCACTCGTCAAAATGATTATTATCATTATTTCTTTCTTGGTGAATATTCAAACACCATGCAAGTTTTTCAGAGGGACACCTTACTTCTGATTTTAATTAGTATCATTTAAGTAATCCCTTTGAATATGAGACTACAAGAAATGCTTTATGATTAGCTGATAATGAAGCTTGTTAATCTTTTCTTAAGTATGTAATCAAAATAAAGGTAACAACTGTTATTACTTACTCTTATTATTTATGAGCGCAAAAATTAAAAAATATGCAATCAGATCTGTTGCATAAAAGTGGTTTATACTTTGTAAATATGATTATTCATATTTTCTAGTATATAAACAAAGTAAAAATGATAATGTTGTTGGTTTATTTAAATTTTTTACTTAAATAAATTACAGGAAATTTCTAAGATTGATTGTCATTTCACTTTATTTATTGCATTCGTTGCATTATTTAAAAGTTTCTCGTCAGTTAGATTTAATGAGTTGGTTTTTATACTGATTTACAAAATGGATAGAACATCATTCTTATACATCTCACGTTTACAAAATCATTCAATCTTTCAGAAAATTTAATATTCCGAATATCTGAATTTTTATTAAAATTCTCAGACCTTTCTAATTTAACTATCTGTGTAAGGTGACTATTGTTTACTACTGAAATGGATATATTCCTTATTAATTTGTGATGGTCAAATCTTAGTACATATTTCATTATGCAGGACAGTGAACTCTATAAGCATTTAAACTGATAGAATCTAATTATCTAGTAAAATTTTTATCTTTAATTGTTCTAAATTCGAACAGGATTTCATTAAATTTCACGAACATTGAGGTTAGAACAACACATATAAGTGAACAATATTGTTTTCGGTTAGATCGTCATCAGGCTTTACTTTAGTTATCATATTTTATAAATTTTCCTACTACTATCGGTTCACCTATCTTCCTACTATCCACTTGTACTTTTGCCTTTTTCATTTCATTGTGATTATTGACTCAAATTGCCTTGATTGGTTAGACATTTTCATATGAATATTCTCCCATATTAGAGTAAAGCCTGATGATAATCTAATCGAAAACAATATTGTTCGCTTATATGTGTTGTTCTAATTTTCACAATGGGAATCTTGAACATTGAGGTAGTTATTACTACAGTGAAATTTTATTATTGATTATCTTAGAAATATTTCTGATAAAGTTCATCTCGTTGATCTTAATTTCATGGTAACTTAAATGTAACAGCTTATATATTTATATCATTTTATTCAACACTTTTTTTAATGTGAACTTATATACAAATTACTGAACTTGCTTATAGCTTACATTGTACACATTTGAGACGTTACGTAGAAGATACTATCATCCTATTTATATATATATATATGGTTGATTTGTAATGTTCAAATACCACTTGTTAATAATAAATGTTTCAGTAATAAAGGCTATTTCCCAATCAGCATATGATTTCACATGAACATATATAACAAACATTAAAATAATAATAACAATAATGATTTTCAATGACAGAAATATTTCACATCTGACTATTTAGCCAGTACAATGAATTTACAAAAAGTTTTATTTGCTATATTTATTAACTTATAACTGTTAGAATTTATGTCTACAGAAGATTTTAGATAATTTAGAATTAATCAAAGAAGTTCTTTTATTCATCTCCTCTAAATCAAAAAATAATAAAAAAGGGGTTAATATTTCCATTGTACATTTCAATTGACGATTGATTTCAAAGAAATCCAAGAAGAAGATGATAAATATATCCTCGATTGAGGTTACATTTTTAGCTACAAAATTAACTCACATCGTTGTAAAAGAGCTTAAATCGGAGATTTTCTCACTTTGAACTTCTTTATAATAATCAAATTTAAATCTGAATTTAAAATTTTTGTTTAATTATGCGTGAAAAGAATTAGTTTTCTTAAGTAAACCAATAACAAGTATACAAGTACACTTTTTTTTAATTATGTGTACATGTAAAAATATACGCCGAAGTGTGTAATCTATTTCCTGCGACTTAACAATAATACATTTCAAACAAACTGAAGAATACATTCATTCATATACATATATTAAAAATCAATACATCTTCGGCAAAAAAAGGCAACTAATAAATAGTACTTCAAATGACGCTGACTAAGATGCAAAATATTGTATATTTGGTTAAAAGTAATTTCACTTTATAAACTACTTTCAAAATTATGAAAACTTTATAGCATACAGCACATCTATTGATATGCAGACGTAACATTTGGAAATGTGACTTTCCAATATGACTGTTTAGAACATTCATAATATAAAATCATAATAATTTGAATTAAGAATAATAAACTGCTTTGTTTTTGTGTTCATTTTGTAAAATAGAGAAAAGAAATTACACATTGCTATTTATGTATATGTTGTTGTTGGATCATGTTTTGCATGCCAAAAAATCAGTTTAATTTGTAATTTACTTCAACTATTATAAAATTTTCCATTTGATTTAAAGATTTTAAAAGACTTTTAATCTTTAATTAAACATAGTTTAATAATACACCGATTAAACTAGTTGACAATGTTATTTTTTGTAGCCTTTTATGCTGATGTTAGAAATCTCTAGGAAGACTAGAAACTGTTCACTCTCTATCTGTGCATGAACTTTTCTCAGCAGTACACACCATTTTGCGAATATTTGAATATTCAACACTATTTAGTAGAAAAGCTACTTATTAAACATGTTCATAGTGAAAATTGACGTATTTAATCAATAGAAAAACTAACCGAATGATAAATAACTTGTTTATAGAAAATATTTGTTCATGATTATGATATGATGTAATGTAATTTTTTTCAAACAGTTAAATATTTAACACAGACCTAGTAGAGAATGCACTGTGTGTTTATGCATTGTATGGTGAATGATCATTTAAATCTGTTTACAAAAGTTCTTATGATTTGTGAATATAAATTATGATATTTTCATACAGTTTAATGTTGATTTTTTGAAAAATATTTCATTTCAGTATCTTAAATTATTAGGCAACTGTTATCAAACTATAGAGTATGAATGCTTCAAACATAAAACACCTTCTACTTTCTATATTGAACTTTATCTTATTAGAAAAAAAAAGCATAACTAATAAAATCTTTACTTCTTTAGTTTTTTTCCTCAATCATTAATTCTACAAGTTATTCAGCTGACTAATCGCTGATAGATGGGACTAATTATCCTTTGATAATATAGTAATATATCTTTACTGACATGTAATATCTGTTATGTCTTATGACATTGAAATGGCTTTTCGTTTTTTCCTCTTTTTATCATTTCACAAGAAATTGTTATTAATGTATGAAAATCAACCGAAGAAAATTGTGTACACAAAAGCACATGTGTATATATAATATTGGATAATATAAGTTAAAACTAACTTTTGTACTTTTCATGATAAGTACAATGGAATAGAGTGAAATTATGTATTCATGATGTCATTGTTATAAATTATGTTTTTAAAATGTAATATTTACTCTTTTTGAATGCTCAAAATAATTCATTTTTAGTTCTTTGAAAATATTTATTTCGAAAATAATTCTGTGGTAGTTTATTTTCTTATGACAATAACACTGATTACTTAAATCTTTACAAATCATCAGTTACGGATTAGTTTTTTCTGCAAGACATTTAAATTTGTAAAAATGTATGAGTGCGGAGGGGAAACAAATCAAATTACAGCAAGTATTTGTAAATTACATAGTCAAAAATTAATTTGTTGGGATATATAAATATATATGTAATAAAATAGAGGCTTCTTTTAATAGCTTAACACACTGCATCAATGGATCACATAAAACAGACAAGGAATATCTTAGATTCGACATTTACATGTCTGTTTGTTTTGTTTTGTTTTATTTTCTGCTAACAATCATTAATCGACCGTAGACATTATCAAAAAGCTTGTTAATAATGAATGGATGAAATGTAATGTGCTTTATTTTGTATAATTATTTAAGTGGAATCATCCTTTGACAAAGTTCGTTATATTTATTCCTGATATAACAGTCAGATTTTCATATTATCTGAAACATTTTCAACGAGATCTCAGCATTCATAAGTGCCGGTATTTAAAAATAATACTCACAACTAAGAGTCAATCTCTAGTTGTTTTTGAAGCATCAGAATCTCATGAAAATCCTTGACAAATTCCGTACATTAGTACTAACCTATAACCTATAATACAGAAAATATATTGTCTTTTAAAATAAATAATTGTTACTGGGTCATCTACTCAAATGATTATCAACACTGATATTAAGTCCAAAATAGTGCTTTGTTTATCATAAGATTTCTATATTGCATTAGAAAGTTCTAAACTTGCGTTTTATGCTGTTTAGCACTAACTGTCAACTAAATTCTTGAATGAACTAATGACTATCATGAAACTCAAATCTATCATTCGGTTTCAAGTAATATCATCTGAAATGGAAACTTGTGACACTACATTTTTTCAGTTGAATAATTCATGCAGTCGAAATAAGTCAACCTAATCCGATTTACTTTTTCGCTGTGTTTAGTTTAGTCAAAATGTGGATTTTCATAATTTAGTCGAAAATCCTATTAGGTAAAATTAATTCCCTTTATTTGTTTATAAAAACAGGATTTATAATTGAATTTTTCACAGGTTTATCTTTATTTTACGCTGATCGACTTGTGATGAATATGAAATATTCTGTGGATTACGGTTTTTACGGTATTTTGTTAAGTCAGATAACTTCATGCTTCAAGTTTTCGATAGTCTAATAACCTTGTTCCATATGAGGGTTTTACACAATTAACTTCCAAATATCTATATCTTACGTAATTTCGCTTGTTATTTACATTACAGCAATAAGTGTTGACCTTGAGGATGCGAATCACTTTAAAGAGAGTGTTCTGACAGCAACTGAATCAAAACTGGGTGTGAAATTGCAGCCTTTCTTTATTGTCGTTGGGCTTTTGAGAGATGTGAAGGATCCAATGTTCGCGCTTCAAGCCTTTTTGGGTAAATAAATTTCATTCATCACATTTTTACCCATAATTTGTGACTACTTATAAGTAGGTAGAAAACTACTTCATTTTATTATGTGCCTTATAGATGTAGCCAAGGTTTATTTCTCTCCTCGACATCGAAGCTCATATCGTTTGCCCATTTACTACACTGATTGCTGACACTAACGTTTCAGTGAATACTGCTAGTGCAAACATGATTTTAATTTATATTTATAAGTTCCTGATAATTTTCTCCATTAAAAAATTTGAACTTAACAAGAACAATCAACATAATCGTCATGACGTTGATTGTTCTTTTATGGTTATGAGGGCGAATGTTACTTACCGGCTACCCGCACCGTGTAAGAGTGTTTCTTGAGGAAGCTGAAAACGAAGGCAGATTAGAGTTGGTTTTAACGACCTGGGATAGTGACCGCTGAGCCCAAGGGAAAACTGCTTGAGGCCGGTCACGCGCGGCCTTTTGATGAAAGGTTTTTTGAGTATTAGCTCCGCTCTTAAAAGCCCTTAGTGAGCAACCTTACCGCCAGAGACGGAAATCCATGATGTATGGTGAGGTGTGACATTTTTAGGGTCGACTTTTTCTAACACTTCCTCCCTTGTGAGAAGGCAGCATCGCTTCAGATGCTGGTTGTCCGAGGGAAACACCTTACTGCTGTCACACCTCTCTACAGTCAGCAGTACGACTTCACCCTCAGACCCTGAGTAGCTGCTTTTAGTCTGATCGTTCTCCAATCGACCTGCCTGGCATGGTTGAACCTTCAGGAACATAAGTTCCAGCCAATATAGCTCGGTTGCGTCATCACGATAGGCAAGCCCGATCACTACGTCAAGGTGGTAGCTACAGTCGGGGAACAGTCAACGTAGCAGAATAACATAGATTCATTTTATTTCGCGATCGCTCTTCAGCTGCTTACAAGAAAAACATAATACCGTTGATCATTAAAAACCAGTGTACCTAGTATCTATCATAATATCAGAAACTTTCGCACTAGTGAAGGTTAATGAAAAAACCATAAGGGCTATAACAGATAATATTTATATGCGTAGTAATATGAATATTTATATGTTCAATACAAAAATATTCTGGAACAAACAACTACGAACACAGAAACAGAATTATTTAGAACTGAAGCAATAATGTTATACTTGGGTAGCTCTTAAAACAAAATCGAGTTGGTGCAGATCAAGTAAGAATTTAGACTAATTAATTAATCACAAAAAAAATTACGTAAGAACAGATAGATGAGGTCACTGCTGCAAAGCAAGATTGATAGCTGTTTATTTTTGAATGCAGAGGTTCGTTTCAATCTTCACATAGTAATCGCTTCAGCGAACTATAGTAAATTTGATATTCTTCGTTTGTTTGTTATCCCGAAGGACTTCGACTTAACAATCTCATGACCACTGTCAAGCAAATGGCGTGCAATCGCACAGCTGAAAATATGTTGTTCTATTAGTCTAAGTTGCAGTGGAATGCGCTCAGTGACTCAGATACTAACCCTATGTTCTGTTCCTCCAATGTACGTGGTTTGGCAAGCATATCTAAACTGGTAGATACAATCGGAGTTAACATAGGGTTGGAATTTGTCCACACATAACCGTCTTAATAAGAAATTCGTGTGATCCAATTTGGTGGCAATATACGTACTTTTGATTATGGCTTATATTCTGAAGTCAATTTTTGTTGCCATTAAAGTCAAGTATTAGAAAGACAGGCTTCCTCACAATAACGGCATACCCTAATTACTTTGCTTTAGTCTTCCCATACTTGACAATGAATTTTTGAGAGTAACCATTATCACGTAAACAACGTCCAACTATGGCTAATTCCACATCAATTTTATTTTCTAAACATAATCTTCTGAGACGATTAAGAATTATTCTAATCATTGCTATTTCGATGATTATTGGACAAAAGCCAAAGAAGTTTATGTACAAACCGCGCCATGTGTCATTTCGATAAATATGGCTTGCCAATCGACCATTTGTATTAGGTGTCATAGAAAGGGCTAGAAAATAAACAGGTTCTTATGTTCATGCTCCATCGTAAATCTTATATTTACGTGTGCCATATTGAAAAGTCTCAATAAATAAGAATCATGTTTATAATCGTCTCAAGTCACAAATATATAATCATCATCATGCCTGATGTTATATTGTTGGTTACTGATTTCATAACTGGCTGATCTAGTTTTCCTGTATTGTTATCTGCTAACATTGGACCTATCAGGTTATCGATAGCCACTGCATCATTTTGACGAAATGAGACATTATTGAACTTAAATTGAATATCTTTTGCATACATTAGTAGAAACTGCTTAAATTCATCTTTTATCAGAGGGAGTAGATTAACATATTGACATCTACTAAAAGAAACCATACAAATAATACGTCAACATGCTAATTTATTCCCTCTGACAAAAGAGGCATACATGGAGCTTCTACTAATGTGAGCCAAAGATATTCAATTACAATTACAAATTGTGACCCCATTCTGATTTTTTGTACATATTTTGAAAAATTCCAACTGAACATTCATCGTATTATTTTTTTGCAGTCATGATGACAGAATATTTCTCACATTTTGTATTACATTTATATGATTAAAACTCTGCTGACTGTAATTCATCTTCCAACCATATAATGCTGCATTTTGTAATAGATATAAAATCGATCACTCTCGATTCACACTATTATTGATTTCATCCACATTAGACATATTAGATATACATATGATATGTTGAGAGAGAGCCAATCAGAGGTGGCCGAATGGGAAGGCCGTTTAGTGGCCATCAGAAATGTCCGCATTTCATTATATACGCATGCCCGAATTTCAAATATTTATGAATTTATAACTGTGACGTTACTCTGAACGACTTGTTTGCGCAGGTGTCGCCCAGTTTGAACATTCTATGGCAATCATCAAATGAATGAAATAGTTTATCCACTATCCAGTAATTCTGGATTTTATTTGATTACTTCTTAAGATAGTGTCTTGATTAAAAGTCGCCAAAACTGCAACTTCACCCAATCATAACCGAAATTGACAGACTAGATTAATAAATTAATTCATTAGTTTTAATACAACTTAACTTATTAACATTATTAAATTATAATCATTTTCTTTTCATACTTTATCCAAATGTTTTGTTATGTTTTTGATTTTTGGTTGCCGCTTTAACAGAATGGAGGAATCAAGAGGAAAGAAATAGTGGAAATTCCAAAATAACTTCAACTATTAAATATAAATCTTATAATCTTTTATATGTGGGATCAATTGTAAGTTTTATAATACATATTACACTGTTGTTGTAATTCTAACAAAATTATGACTAAAAATCATTAGCTCAAGTCATCACTTTCCAAAAAATAAGAGTAGGTTACCAAATAGCGTGTTGTGAAACGTAGATATCACACTAAGATAGTGGAGAAGATTTGTAACTCAGGTGGATTGTAACATATTATGACTGTGCCGGGGACGTCAGATCCCCAGAACTCACTCGATAAAGGTCCTAATTTTGGATTTTATTTCTTAGAGCATGGATCAATCAGTTGACCTTGAGATTACATTTCCCACCTGGAAATCCTTGACTATTATTGGTTGATGTATTATTTTAGTAGGCTTTTTCGTGGCTGTTCCAATGACGTTTCTATGACGCAAAAATAAACTCGATTTGTGTGCTTGTCGACTTCATATTTTCTGGGTGCTTATAGAATACACTTTCTACGTCATATCAAGACTTCTTCTACTTGGTGGTGACTTGGGACGCTCGGATTAGAGTAGCCTATCATGTTGCTGTATCATTTGACTTCCCTCTCGTATGCTGACTAAAGTGAACTCGTAATAGTTTCAAGCATATCAACTGGTGGCATGCATAACAGACTGTTATCATGTTACCACAAGTAAGTTCATTGGTAGAGTTCAGGCTACCGTTTGAATGTGATGGAATCAGTTTAGGAAATTAGTCAACCTCATATGATATTTTCATAGTATCATATACACAAACGCTATTAATCTCTGTAACTTAATTGTCTCCATATTTTTTTTACTTAGTATTGATATAAGTTAAATTTTTTCAATTTAGTGTTTTACTTCCTTTTTATGTAATAAAACATCAAGGTTATCAGTCTGATGGTTACCTTATTTTAAGAAGAGACATAATATTGTATTTGTTTGTGTACAACACATTTTTCTAAATATGAAAGGTAAGAAATTTGAAAAAAGCTGACTTCGTAAACAGTCCTATTTGTTAGGATCTAGTTCAAATAATTAAACTTCATTATTTTAGCAGTTGCTTTCAGCAAACACAACTGCAGTTTGTAATTTAGACCTTAGAACTAAACACTGACCAAGTCAATATTTTTAAACATTTATTACATATTTAAATAATACTAACTCCTAGCTGAGATGTGTATCTAGATTCTGTTTTCGTTGTATAACTTACAAATTAGTATCAAATCAAACAAATGTCATTAATAATTATGAACATAATACTTTAATGAGTTGAGTTATATGGTAAAGCCATATTTTTTAGGGAAAATCTAAAATTTCAATTTTATTTTATTATTAAAAACATAACAGTATTCATTTTATTTAGGATTTTAATGTTTCTTTAAAAATAAAATAAAATAAAACAAACATTTAAAAAGACTCCTAAATATGGTGATCATTTTGAGAAAATGAAGCCGCATTAGTTATTAACATTTAAACGCCAACTGTAAGAATGTACTTCACTAAATAGATACATTATATATTTATTAATTAGAATATACTGCAGTCTAAGTAATAATTAAAATCCATAGAAGATAAAATTTATAACCGACAATCTAGTAAACAATTTGTTTTATTGTTTGAATTAGTGATAAATTAACTTTGAAGTAGACTTTAAACTAATAATTCTGTGACAAATGTTTGTGCAGATATTTTTCGTTTTGATACAGTTTTATAATGACAGAAAATAAAAGAATGACATATAGGAATGTAAAATGAACCGCTTTATGATATATATAGATAAAATAAATTTTAAGCAATAAAAAAAATACTCATCGTAGTTTGTTGGAAAAAATTCAACAGTTCGTAACTCTAGTGACGAATTTGAATCACATGAGGTTAATTATCATTGTATAATAATGTTACAAATAACCGACGTACTCTACACTTATAAAATAGGAACTTGGACTCTAAATAATAGATATTTGAGTGGTTGATCTAATACTACACAGACATAAAATGTCAACCGAACTTGGTCGAGTTTATGCAATAAAAGCTAAGTGAAGAATAGTCTTGCTGAATAAATTTACTGTTGTATGTATTCGAATGCACTTATAAATGAATACAATAAAGCGACATTAAAAGGAAGAATAGAAAAATGATTCTATACATCAAGTCTATTGTATATCAAAGATTTTGCTTGATAATAATCTATCAAAATGTGCTCTTTATACTGAAGAAACTTCCCTTTGACATGAATTACTGTGTAAAGAAGAATTATGAACTTTAGTTTAGATCAGATTATTGAAAAGAAAAAACAAGGTAATTTAATCAGTATGTATCGAACTTATTCAATGTATAAATTAACTAACATGTATCATTGACCAATGAGTGATAGATAATCAACATATACTGCATATTAATTAGGATTTGACCTTGTTTTCATTAGATTAACTAAACTATATTGTTCAAGTAATTCAGTTTCCTGATATTTGGATTTCATTTGGCCTTATATATAAATATATAAGAAGATATTGTACATTCTCGAATATATAACGTCTTTATCTTTTCAATTGGCTCTATCATACATTATTTTTATTTCATTGTAATAAATATAATCGTGTTAACCATTTTCATCGGTGCATTCATGTTCTAATAATGTGACATGTCGTAGTTAATGTTGATCATTATAACGTGAAAAATTATATATATATATATATATATATATATATATATATATATATATATATATATGTGTGTGTATACGCATAATAATTGCAAGCTAGTTCACTAGTCAAGTTTAAATTTCTTATCGTCTAACTATGTAAGCTTGCTTGTTGGCATATACTAAGTTTCATTCATGTTATTTAGCCATTTGTATGCCTTCATTCAATATGGAATGAAAAGAATAAGAAGTGTATTTTGTTTTTTTTTTGGTTTAATTTTCTGTTCGCTTGTTAATAAATAACAACCATTAGGATGAATAAAATGAAATTGACTAAAAGGTCGATAAACAAAAGGATTGGAAGCGAAAAAACAACAACAAATAGTAACTTAGATACTAAGTCTTGTATGATAATTCAAATGAACAAAACCAATATGTTTTCAGTTGATTCCAATGTATTTATTCTATTTACTATGAATATTTTATACACGAAGAAAAAATCAATTCATCCGTTGGAGAATCTATAGGTTTTTATTTGACTATGTGAATAATTTTCAAAATTCGCTTATAATTATTACTGTTAGTAGTTGTAGTGATTGATTGGTCTTATGTATATTTGAATATAATTTTTTGAATATGCAATTCTCTATAAGAGATTACTAGTTTCCTTTAAATACAGTAGCTGATTTTACATATTTATCAGATAATATTACATTACCTAGTGGTATACCTTTAGCTTAGTGGATAAAGTAAGTGTTAGGTTCGTCACTAGGTATGCTTGAAACTATAACGAGTTCACCTTAGTCGATAAACGGGAACAAGACAATGAACCAGCGTCCAGGTAGGCTACCCAGATCCAACCAAAAGTCTTGATATAGCGTAAAATGTATATTCTACAAACACCCAGCAAGCACAATGCAATCAAGCACACAAATCTCGTTTATTTATACATCAAAGAAACTTCCTTGGGACAGTCACAAAAATGGCACACTAAAATACACAGCAGCCAATCACAGCCATGGATTTTCCTGGTGGGAAATGAAATCTCAAGGTCAAATGATCAGCCCATGCTCCCAAATGTGAAATCCAAAATAACGCATTTGTCAAGCGAGTTCTAAGGATCTAACGTCCCCAACAGTAAGTAATACTATACAGTATATTATCGCAAGTAGCACGGCATATCATTTAGGATATATTCGGAAGAGCTGGTTGGATCTTACTAAACTTATAGGCAATCAAATCGGAAGTAACCAAAGCGTACAGTAATTAATTGTAACTCGATTTTTGAGAAGATGAAAATATATACCATGTTGGATTTGAATTTCTACACTACAATTAGAAGTCATTCATTCAGTACTCTGACAATTTATTCGTCGTTACAGATTAAATAAATAATTTAAAATTAAGAATCATTTCAAAAGTGATTGATTGAAAAATTAAATTTAAAAAAAATCACTCATTTGTTATTCATTATTCGACTAATAATTAAATTGTACAAAGTAGCTGTTTTTTTATGTGAACTCTTATGGATTTTAATTATTTGTTAGGAAGAGGACACAGAAAATATACAACAGTTCATTGACAAAATAGATGGGTAGGTTATTGTTTCTAGTAATATATATTATATTGTTTAACTATGACTTTTTTTCAAGTATAAATTATTAAAATTTGATCAAAATTGTCACGCTTAGTCGATAAACGCGAACGAGACTTTTACCAGCGTCCAGGTAGGCTACCTTGAATCCCCAAATAGAGTAAAAAGGCTTTGTAAGCGTAGAAAGTATATTCTACAAACACCCAGCAATCACGGTACAATCAAGCATACAACTCTCGTTTATGTATACATCATAGAAACGTCCTTGAGACAGTTAAGAAAATAACACACTAAAATATACAGCAGCCAATCACAGCCATGGATTTTCCTGGTGCGAATTGAACACTCAGCCCATGCTCGCAAACGTAAAAACCACAATAAGGCCTTTATCAAGCGAATTTAGGGGATCTAACATTCCCAACAAAAATGATCAAAGGTTATTTGTTTAAATTAATTAGTTGATCTATAAAAAATTGTATATAAGAATTACTTAACTTACTTAAAAAGTTCTGATAGTATTCAGTGATATTTATCCAAGTAATTACATTATTGAAACCATGAATCGATCAATGTTAGACCACTATTAGAAACCTGGAAGCACTGGACGGCCGTTTCGTCCTGGCATGGCACTCATCAGCAAGGCGTAACTTAATAATCTTCACAACAACCCCACAATCCAAGTAATTACATTAAAAACTACACCATGATCTATATAACTGGTATTTGTTTATAACCATATGGCTTGATCTAACATAAATTTATGTCACATTTCATTTTTAAATATTGATGATTTTAAAAATGAGAGAAATTTGAACATTTATCATCTTTACAACTAAGACATCTGATGATCTCTTTTGTCTATTTATAACGATGTTAGTTCCTATGATAAATAGATAGACAGCTATGTTAGATTAAGGTAAGAGAAATATTTCATTGTGAATGAAAAAAAGGAGAACGATAGTCAATCCCAACTGTTATTCTCATTCAATTGTTTACTAGTATTAAGAAACATTGAATTTTATAAATTTCATTGTCATTTAAAATTCAACTAGGGGCTAAAAACAAAATCATGAAAACACTACTTTGTAGAACAACATTTCTGTAAAAACATTTTCTTACACAAGAAGATAGTTAAATATGCCATTGTTATCAATTTCATTCGACTTCATTTGTATTGATTGACGAGGTTGTTCCAGTAATATACCGAAATATAATTGAATATTTTATTCTGAGATGGTGGAGAAGATTTGTAGCTAAGGTGGATGATTGTGGTGGTGGTGGTGTATGGTTCTCCGAGATGGGTGTTTTGGTTGTGGAGCTTTCATTGTTCTTCTGAACAACATCATCAGCACAAACTTCAGATAGAAGTCAACAATCAAAACGTTATCCCTAAACTGATGAATTCAAATTGAATTCAGTGTAATTAGTTATTCCCATAACATTTTTTAATTGAATAGAAGATTTTATGTTTGTTTGTTTTTCTTTTTTCACACATAACAAACACACAGTCGAAATAGTTCTTATAGTTTTGTAAGAAAAAAAACACAAAAAACTTAAGTGAAATTAAAGTAATTCAATCTAATTACTGGACATAAATTATGACAGTGTATTTTCAAGTTTATAGTGTATGCTACTATTGTTTTTTCCCTCCGACTATGATCAGTAAAAGTTGTAAAAGTTTTAAATGATGTAACAGAAAATTTAAAAGAATTTATAAATTATCCCATGTTATAATGTATTAAAAGTAGGCTATCTGTTAAGCATCGACACACTTTATCACAATGCAGTTTTACAATCATTCATATAATGATACTATGAAGTCTTATTATGAACAAAAGTCAATAGAGACAATAGAAAATTTAGGCAAAACATTTTGTCATGTATTTCAGTCTTGTATACTAAGTAATTTTACTTAGCAGACGATGACTTCAGTTTATTGTTCAAAACTAAGTCTAATTTCGGAATTTATTTTATAAACTTGTTTATTGCAAAGATTTCTTATAATTGTTGCCTAAAACTTTAAAATCACATTGAATACATATATACATATATATATATATATATATATATTAATGTATCATTTTTTTAAATATAACTGGTTTTCTTGATTTGCAACTTCTAACTTTTTATTGTGAAGTAATAGTTTTTACACTAATTAACTACAAATTTATACTTGTTTTATCTTTTACAATCTTCAATGTGATTAGAAAGTTTTAGGCAACAATTATAAGAAATTTTGGTTGGTTGACCAGCAATGTGATTAACATCGATATTTGGTTTTTATTTACTTAATTCTTCAATTGTACACACTTTATTCCTAGATAATATCACAGATAGGAAAAATGATGTTTACTTTTCCTTCCCACGATAATTACTAAAATTTATCACTATCAGCATAGATGACAAACATTACAAAATTATACTTAGGAAATACTGTATGCGATATCGACAAAAAAAAACCAATGATCATATGCTTACACATAAATATACATCTATATAAAACAACCAATCAAAGAAGAAATAAACCGTGCATTGATTGGTCCATTCCAGTCAGTCTTCATGTATCTTATATCTGAGAAAGAGAACAAAGCTGCTTTATTTATTGATTAATTAAAATGAAATGGTTAGATGAATAAAAGTTTACCTCAATCAAAACAATAAGCTATTTTGACGACTATCATTTTACTAAAAAAATACATATTATTATGATGATAGGTTACAGAAGAAAAAGACTATTGTATTTACGAGTTCCATATACATGTGGTCAGATAAAATCCAATCAGTGAGAAACTTATTAAACTAAGCGTGATGTTGACAACAGTAATTTGTTATAATTACAAAAAAAATATCGGTGACATCAACAGTTATGTTGATAAATCTGTTTATTTGTCAATTAGTTTATCTCAGTAACACTGTTGATAAATAGCTAAGTCTGCAAATAATTTTACAAATATTAGTAAATAAACAGTATAAAATAATGTAATAAACCCATGATGTTATTCAGTCATTATCCTTAATAAAAATCAAAACTAATTATGATGTTATAAATAAAATGCTTTAAAAGTTACAGATTTGAAAAGTACTTATTTTGTCTGATACAATAATTAAACTGATAATGATAAAAGGTTGTAAAACATGTGATCTTTTAATTGTAAGCGTAATTAGATTAGTCGATAAATGGTTGGTAGGTCAATTCGGTTATTTTGTACATCATGTCAGCTTATAAGTAGATCAGTTTTAAAAATGATACAGTAAGCTGCAAAGTGAAATTTCAATATGAATGAATCTGAACTATGAAAGACAAAAATAAAATGAATAAAAAATAAGGTAACATTGTACAATCGGAATTAACTGTGTTATTTATTTAGGTCATTCTTATTCTTTACTTAAAGTTCAACTGTGATCTACATATGCAATTAAAACACAGGATAAACTTTTTCGTTCAAAATTCAATCTTACATATTTGTATTGAAATGAAATAGACTAATAATTTTCTGCTTAAATATCAATAATAAAATAAACATTTTGATCTAACGCTAATTTTCTCATAGTTTGTTCACAGATAATAATAAATTAATTGTAACTGTAGTTTTTATTTTTTGATAATCATTACAAGTATCGTCTAATTGTGAAGTTAAGAAGTCATTACTGAATGTAGTTTAAGACATTTTGGAAAAATATCAGAACCTTTGGTCGTTCTAAACAATGTATCCAGTGATGATTATAAATAATACGCTCTTTATCACAACACATACTGATAATTAAAGTAATCAACTAATCGTTATCGAGTATAACGATCATACAGACCATGATAAACTGATAGTTGTATGACTAATGAATAATTACTCAAAACAGTTTTCTAATGATAGACATCATCCCTAGAGGCAACACTCTACAATTTAAACAACGTATCTTCATTATTTCTTGATTCTACTAGAATAACAGTTTGTAATTAATGTGTTTAGTTCTTAATAGGGATATATACAGAATCCCAATTTAAGAGTTTTAGACCAAACACTAATGTTACTGATAGAATATTTGTTTTCCTAGTACTTTGTGGTGAAATGGTGAATCAATCAATATTAGACCACCATTAGAAACCTGGAAGCACTGGAAGGCCATTTCGCTCTAGCAGGGGCTATTCAGCAGTGCGCATCCATTGCCCCCGCTCACGGGAGTCAAACCTAGGACCTTCGGTCTCGCACACGAAACCCTAATCTCTAAACTATTGAGACGACATCCGACGATGTTATTGTCGAATTTTTGATCAAATTAAGGCTTTGAGCAACCTCACTTATTGTCGTCCACACTAACTGCATACACCTGATAGGGTTGAACTCCACTAGTCACGTCTTCTCACTAGAACTTCGAGAATTTTTTCATGAAGCTAGTCACTAGTAAGCACATTTTTTATTGTTGTTTTATATTGATTTACGATTTAAATGAAAAACAACAATCTCCATAACCCTATAATGAAGAATTAATACTTTGTATTAAGAAATGATAAATCGAGTTGATCGAAATACTGACATTTACCAAGTTGCATTAGCGATTGCAATCTATGAGTATGAAATAAATAAAGTATTAATCAAACAAACATCACTACTATAATGTTAACCAAATCTATTCTTATACCATGTTGTGGTTTACAGTTATAAGGCTTTTTTCAATATCTACAAATACATAAATAGTTAATATAGCTAATTTATAAACTGAATAATATATGAATTAATTTCTGCAATTACTTACGATATCTAAGCATTATGAACTGTTACCACAATTAAAATGTCAACTATCATGGATACTTTTGACAGAAACAGACAACTTAAAATGTCACTTTATCTGATAATAATGCTAGATTTCTTTGATTAATGATTATTATTACCAGGTGTATCAGACTTTTACTCAAACTAATAGAAGTGTGAAAGTATCTACTTTTAGCTGCAAAACTGCTATTGGATATAATCTCATATATATATATATATATATGGGAGGCTTTTGATAATACCGGACATATTTGTGTCTGCTTGGCAATTATTTTTAAGTTTCCGCTTTAAATTTTAGCAAAGTTGTACATCGATGTGATTCAATGAATCAAAAAGAATTGCATTCATTGATGCTCAGCTCTCGCGCGTTAATCAACTGCTCAATTAGTGAAGGTCAATCTTTAGCTGTAATGGAAGTAAGTATGAATATATAATTGTATATTTATTCAAACTACTACCATCTGTCTAATGATTTCCTCCTTTAGAAATAATGTGGTGTGTAAATAAAAATATTTTCACGAATCAAGTGAAATAAATAAATAAGGCATTCAGAATGCAAAGCTTTCAGATATCTAGTGGTGACTGATATAAGCCCTGTTTCATTTCCTGTGTCAAAAAAGGTCTATATTTAATGGAATATTATTGAAATAAGAACTATGAATTATAACACGCTTAGTGCTTATATATAGAAAAACAATGCACCTCTACCACTGAGACGAATTTTGAATAGTGGGAGCAATGATGGATTATGATAATTTAAGAAAAAACGCTTATTAGGGAATCTCTATGTACTAACAAGGCTAAAACTAGCAATTGAAGGCCTTATGGACTGTTATTAGATACTGACTATGCTATGCATTGTCTTATTACTGTCTGCTCCTTTGATAACTGCCATAGTAGTTAGGAGAGGTCAGTGGATTGCCAACCATCTCAACTACAGACTTTTTACAGATACATCGACTTACTACTTTTAATTGGTGTTTTAAGCAAAAGTTCTGTCGTCAAAAAGTTAATAAAATGGTACAAATAAAGTTGTGAATAGGTGTAAATTTATATAATATGAATAAGTTTATGTTTGTCAAACATATCTATTTTCTTAACATTAACATTGTTGATAAAATATGTCAACAAGATGGATGTTGAGTCTATCATGAATGATTAAAAATTTGCAATAATAAAGAAAAATCAGTCTAAAGATTAAATCGTAAGGAAAATCTATTAGTAATAAGGAACAATGCCTTCTAAATAAAACTAACTGGAAAAGTAGGCAAAGTACAGGAATAATTGAGATAGCTTATCTAAAGAATCAGTATCAGAAAGCTTCATGAAATTTTGAGCGGTTAATGTATCAGGTAGTTTTAACCAATTTATTTTTATATCTTAACTAATTTAAGAAATTTGTAAAAGTCGTATTTTCACATACACAGGCTATGTCTCTTGGAATTCCCGTTGTAGTCAGAGAAAATCCAGGTAACTGTGATCTTATCGAAGACAGAAAAAATGGTTTGGTATTCAAAACATCTAAGGTAGGTATTAAATGTAAATTAGCGATTATGATAACTTATTTTCAGTGTTCGTAATAAGCAAAAAATCCACTACTCACGTAATTATAAATCGTTATGATCGGTTGTGAGGAAGACTAGACATTGAAAAATACGGTTTTAAGGGAAATGTGAAATAATACTGAAGCTGCCAATATAGAGAAGGGTGAGGTGAATTCATATACACTACTTTGATGGATTGTGTGACATGCTAGGCGACCTCTTCAAATATCAATTACAATAATCGCTAAGAGCCTAACCAGGTGGTCTGTACCTTCCAGAACCCAGTCTAACAATCGATGACTTTATGAACCAAAGCCAAATAATTCTACCTTCAGTCAACATTGGGATTCCATACGATTGATTATTCGTGTCATTGTTCCCTCTTTTGGAGAATAAGTGATTCAGGTGTTATTCTACTAGTGACAGCAAGTGATGTACAAATCCTGCAGTCAAAACCAACAAAGTATCATTTACCAACTAATAATAAATGATATAAAATTAACCATCATCATCATTTGAATGAAGGACTTCAAAAGCTATTTTCTGTTGAACGAATTTCTAAATACTCCAGCACCAAATGGTTTTTAATGGATTAATTGCGATGGCGTTTCTCCCTAGTATGGAACCCTTCAGTCGTGCTCATCCGTGCCCTCGGAAGATGGGGTCAGTCCTGGGATCTTAAGCCTGAGCACGAACGCCTAATCTCTCGATCACAGAGACGGCATTTGGTATCAAGAACCGATCGATAGGTTGTACTGGTTGTATAATTAGTCGCTTCAATAATTAACGACCACGAATCTCGTGTACTACTAACAGTAAATAAGATCATTCATTCGAATTCCTAGTTTACTCGAATCTAGCAAAATTCACACCAGAATGTAGATGAGTATTAATAAAAACAAGTCAGTCGAACAGTGAGTTATTCAAAACTTACTGACTTTCATGGAAAATAGACTTTAAAGTCGCACCAGAAGTTGATTTGATATAAGGCCTGTCTTCTACTTTTGAAGTTGAGCTTCGATAAACTTGTGTATTATTTTAAAAACAACCACTTGAATGATTCTTAGCTATTCATTTTGCTTATTGAATTAAGATTAAATTAATTCGATTCTAAAAATTAGTGCAATGTAACATATGGACACATTTTAATAGTAGCGTGAAACCAGTCGGCTTGTTGGAAAATTGCACGAAACTCGAAATAGACAGGATCATTTTGATTACTTATTACATTTGCTTTAGGACAACACGTTTAGAAATGAGTATAAAAAATGATATTTTAATGGTTAAATTTGAGCTGATTTGTACTTATCTATACTAAATACATAGTATTTTGTGTATTCAGGAGCTGGGAGAATGTCTAACCTATTTAGAAGGAAATCCTGAAATAAAAAGACAACTTATATCAGCAGGTGAAGAGTTTATGGGAGGAAGAGAATTTCAAAGGGGATATCAAGCGAAATTATATTCACATATAATACAACCTATACGTTCTGGTAAATAATTTATCTGTACGCCAAAAGTATGCATCTTCGATAAAAAAGTAATCAAAAATCATTTCATTGAAGTCATTAAGTTTACAATAAAATAAAAAATTAAAATCAAATTTATTCGATTTTAATTGTTAAACAGATGGGAGATTTTAGTGAAACTGATCACTCTTTTCAACAGATTATCTGGGACATATAGACAAATATCACCTAACATAAAATTAGAACAGAATAATCCGAGTATGGTTAACGTCCATAGGTCACAACTTTATAGTTAGTATTTCTTCTAAGTTTATTACCCAGGGTATACATTTTAGACAAGGCGTAAAAGAGATAACTCAATAAAACAATACAAGAGTACCAACCTAAGACCTCTATCTTGTTGATAGTGATTGAGCAACGCAGAACTTCAAACGTACGTACATCAGTCCAAGTCACCATACCACATTGGCACAGAGACGCAATTATCAATTCGAATCCCATAGTAGTGGAGGTAGTAAAAGTATTAGCAGTAATCAGAGATTAGGGATCTAAAATATTGTTCAAGAAGCATAAGCTATTCAAAATAAATTTAAAAAGAGAAAGATAGACATGATGAGGAATTCAGATTACAATTTGAAAGAACACAAAGGGTGGATGCACCTGCGCCACTACAAACGATTTTGAGCCATGTCATTCAGGGTCTCTAACCATCGATTACTATCATCTTGCAGGCCCCGACCAGGTAGTCTACACCTACCGACATGGCTCAATCCAGTTGTCGGTGACTTCATGGATTTCCACCACGTTTTGGCTTGGCCACCCCTAGCTTTCTTCCAACCTATTCCTACGCCACGACATAGCTCGACGAGACATTCGGTGGTTGGGCATTCGTAACACATGTCCCAACCACCTCAAATGATGAAGTCTCACTACTTCATCGGCTGATCTGCCACCCTTACCTAGCACTCGTTTCCTAACGACAGCATCGCTTACTCAGTTGCCACAGGATACACGAACAATGCTTCGGAGACACCTATGATCGAAAACAAACGACCTACGAATGTCTTCTACTCTGACTGGCCATGTTTCACACCCTTAAAGTAGGACGGAGCAAACTACTGCACAGTACACTTGTCAGCAAACGGATATCTTCCCTACGCCATAAGTGACAGGTTGGCAAAATCCGATCGAGCCTTCTGTATCCGAGCTGAGATTTCGCACTCACCAGGCAGTCAGCGCTGATGAGACTCCCAAGATAAGTGAAGCAATCAACACGCTCGACTACTTCACTCCCTATCACTAGTTCAGGTACCGATACAAGCCAATCCTGAAGCAACATTTCGCATTTCGACGGGAGAATCGAATCCGGAACATGCTTGCATTGTTGCTGAGTGAAGTCAAAAGACTCTGCATTTTGTCAGTCTTCACCGAATAGAACTATGTCATCGGCATATTCTAGGTCAACCAGTGAATCTCCTGGTGGAAGGTCCACTCCTGAAAATTCAGGAGATAATGTTATATCTAGCAGCAGATCTATGACAAAAATAAAAAAAGAATGGAGAGAGTGGATATCCTTGACGGACACCACTTGAAGTAAAGAATTCCAGTGACAGTTCGCCATAAGCTCTCACTCGACCAATGGTGTTCCAGTAGAGAGCTTGTATCAAGTTAATGTACTCCTTTGGTACACCTTTCAATGACAGACAATGCCACAGAACCTCACGACGCACTGAGTCAAATGCCGCCTTAAGGTCCAGGAGGTGAACTATTGTCGGACGTCTAAATGTGTGCCTGTGTTCCAGGACCTGTCGTAGTGTGAAAATGTGGTCTATGCAGCCACGTCCAGGTCGGAAACCAGCTTGGTTTATTCGAGGTTGCTCTTCACGAGCAATCGTTAGGCGCCTAAGGATAATCGAGGCTAACGATTTAAAAACTATATCGGTTAGACTGATTCCTCTGTGATTGTCACAAGACTTTTGTCCTTCCTAGTAGATTGGGACTATCAGGGATTGAGATCAGTCGGATGGGATTGCGTCCAGTTCCCAGAGTCTACCTAAGATCCCAGCCAACCTAGCGGTTAAAACTGGACCACCATCCTTAAATATCTCAGGGCCCGCTGCTCACCCTCGCTTCAGATTTCCTATCGCTTTCGCAACTTCATAAAGAGTCGGGGGGTTTCTGTAAAACGTATCATTTATTTCGCCTGAACTGCAGTCAGTAGCATCGTAGGCAGATACGACGCAGATGCAACAGCGAGTTTCCTAATCTTTACGAGTCCGTACCGTCCCGTTTAGTCGGACAGCGCATAAGTGACTGTCTACCGGGGTCCAGTCTAAGAGAGCTTGTTCTGCCCTACGACTTAATAATATACTTACACCAGTGAGACCCCGGGAAGCAGCATCAGGGCTACCGGATACACGAAGCGTAAACCGTGTTGTTTGTTTATATGCACTAGGTGAAATCAAATTGATGATTTTACCCGGATCTTGTATGCGGGTTTAAGAGACACAACATACATTGATTGCCGGGGATTCCAGAGTTCTAGCCAATGAAGCCTGTTGCCCCAATTTGGCACAAGTTCCGAACATTAAAAGCTTCAATATGTAATTTAGTACGGAGTTTCAGGAGACCAAGATTAATGTTTCGTGAGCTTAAACCGTTTGCTTCAGCGGCGCGAGGTAACAAACGATGGAAGGAAGAATTGGTTAAAGGGATATGAGAGTTATTAGGTGTAGGAAGGATTTGATTCTGACCAATTCGGTCTCGTGTGCTTTTATGGGTATGAGGGCGGATGTTACTACCCGGCTGTCCACACCATGGAAGGGTTTTGATTGTAAGAAGGGGTATCTGCCCCATGATTCCCGAAGGAACTCGGTTTTCATCATGAGACGTCATAACTCTTCTAAATGAATACCTTCTAACTCCCAGAGCAATGTTTATATGGTTTGAATTATTTTTTCTATTTAGCGTTTTTTGGAGATTTAGTTTTTGCGGGATGGGATCGCCAACCTTCCTCCTTTATCTGAGTTTGGGATCGGCAGTAGCCACGAAGGGTCTACAGGCGGAGTTCTATTGTTGTTAAACAATAGTAGAGAGTAACTATACAATAAAATTCACTAGTCATTCTAGAAGCGTCCTAGCTACGATCATGAAACAGTATTTCCTGAATGAACTGAGTGCGTTATTCTGATGATCAAAACAGAAAGAACCACGTACAAAACAAAGATCAATGAGTTCCCGGTGAACTCTATATAATGCACAATTCATTTAGCCTAAATAACTTTATAATTGGCAGCTAACGAAAGCCGACAGTGGTAATTAAAAGGCAGTAACTTAATTCCTCGGTGTAACCTGAAATATTGAGACGTTAATAATAAGACCACAAAATAAAAAAGACGCGCATATAACAATTCCCAAACATCGACAGTCTCTCAACGACATTTAAATTACTATTTTCAGGGTATGTGAAATAATTGCAAAATATATGCATTATTACCAAGAAGTGATTTTAAAAGACCCCAATTTTAGCTGACTAAAAATTACCATCAAAAACTTGCTACGTACAAGGAAATCTACTAAATAGTATACCCATCATAAAACTTAGTTCGGTAAGAATTTAAATCACTCGCAGGTATATATTATCGGCAATTTATTAGATCAAGCAGTTCCTAAATTTATATGAACAAGTATATCAGCATGAACAAATGGGAGGAAATAAGAACAAGAAGCCGCTGCCTTGACAAGTGAAATCAAAAGAAACAATAACGAACCAAATTATGGGTGAAGGCAGCAAATACGATTAAACACATGTACAACACCCATTACGCGTACGATAAACAAATGATATCTTATTTATACAGCATACATAAGATAAATGTTAATTTAAACGAAAGTATATCAGAATAGAAGGATTAAAACATTCAAATGAACAAGTAAAAGATTTACAAGATCTTAAACTGAAACGAAGTTGTCCAGGTATATTGAAAATGAAATAATTATACAAGTAGCTTGAAAGTGATGACAGAACGACCGGGATTGTTAGGTTTGGGATATTGATTATTACTGTGAAATGCATACAGGGTTAAAGAAACTAAACATAATAATGAACATGAGATTACTGATTTATTAAAATGTTAAACAGCAGTTCACGCCGATACAGGATCGACATTTATATGATTACATTTCAATATATAATCATCAGGAAATAATTCTTTGTACAGCCGAAAATCGATTACCGGATATTATCTTACATTAAAAAACCCGCAATCTACTGAAGCCCCAAAACGATGAGGTATGTTTTTAAAAGAATACGTGATACACAAACAGGACACATAAACGAATCGATAACAATTTAGGTGGTTTTTGTGGAAGGTTTGATAATCAGCTGATGACATAATATGTTTACAGGTTATTTACAAAATTAAAAATGTTACTTTAGATGAAAAGTATGAAATAATGGTTAGATTAACTGAATGTATCAAAATAAGAATCTGTACAAAAATGCTTAAATGTACTGAGTCTGGGGATAGAGAACTCTGAGATTATTAATTGGACGAGGCTAAGACAGTTTGAGAAACAAGGTCACGAAAAAACCATCATACACTAAAAGTGACAAAATTTAATGTCAGAGCAGAAATATTGTAAGCATTCTATGTAGTGTTTACACAGCAATATCAAATGGTTCGGTGGTCCGTTTCGTATCAAATGGATCAACATACAGCCCCATTATTGTTTGTTGATGAATGATCATTGTCTGAGTTCACTTTTTGTGACGCATAACCCACTTTAGCTAGGTCTAATTGAGCTTGCAAACTATCTCTGATGCGTAAAAGTGTTTGTTCAACATTGTCGAAATGGCCAGTAACAACATCAGGATAAAAGAAAAAGCTTTCATTATTTTTAGAATACTTTGAGGGATGTTTAGAGATTGTGCAAGAAAACTTTTTTGTATTTAAGTGGGGCTGACCAGAAACCCGGTAATACCATGGAGAAGTGTTACGTCTTTCTCGTTCATAAGACCGCGTTTCTTGCCACACACGTATCTCGTTATCTCGTTGTATGAAGTATTCCAATGATCCAGATAAATGAGTTGGATTTTCTTCTGAATGTTTCTCGATGTCATGCGATGGAGCAACTGGACTGTTTGAAGATGCTGAATGTCCGGAGAATGAAGGGATAGGAGGTGGTGGTGGTGGTGGCGGCAGAGTTCCTGTAGAAATCACTAGACCATGTAAATGTTGGGAATCAGCCAAGTTAGGAGTATTCTTATAGTGATGAGCCAACCCACCAAATTGTTTTTGTTTAGTAGAAATTAGTGTATCACCTACAAGTTTATGATCACAATCTAACACTTCAGAATTAATACGATCCTACAAGTAAAAGAACAAATACCATAAATTTTCAAAGATTCACTGATAATTCACTGATAGGGTTTAGATAACTAAAAAAATTCCCTCCCTTCCCATGTACAGAATTTGAATAAATTAATGTTATTACAGAGAAACAAGGGAACACATTATCATAATATCAACAAAATTATTGTAATTAGCAAGTTTTATCTGTGGAAAGTCTTTGCAACAGTCAACTATCGTATTCTTTGTGCAACAATGGGATCAGTTTCGAAAAGAAGTTGGCTTTTACAATTATTTCATAGTAAAAATAAAGATAATGATTATCTACCTGTGCACTAAATACCAAGACTTCATGGCCATTTAATTGTCAACTTAATTGCGCCATTATATTTGATCTAATTGACAATAACTAGCCGCCCTAAGTAAACTAATACGGAAACGAAGTTCATCTAGTTGACCTTTATTTCTCGTACGTAAATACCTTAATTCAATGCGCAATCAGATTTTTCGAAATGTATTACTTTAATATATCACCTAGTTCAGTCTTTAAATTTCACTGTCCAATTACCCTAATTTTACATGAAAACAGGAACCGGGAAAAATTCAAAATAGACAACTTACTTGATTATATTCTTTAGTATGATCAAAGTCATGTATACGATTTTCTCGATCAATTGGTTTCAAAGAAGCAAGCATGTTAGCTGGAAAATATGAGTCTGAAAATTTGCTAGAATTTACATCTGGAGGTGAACTGTTCCGGAAAGGTAACTTTCCGGTAGTTATACGAGAATCTGAAAAAACAGATGTTGGTGAACCTGGAGCGGAAAGTACTTTACCAGGAAATTTTATGCACGGTTCAGGAGAACTGCTAAGAGCGCCCCTACTAACAGGATTTATAGAATCAATCGCAATATTTTCATCGTCATCCTCATCATCTGGTGGCTCGCTTGGTGTTCGAGGTCCACGTTCATTTACTTTCCCATCAATAAAACCACGTTCACCATCAAATTCACATTTTTTTGGCATAAGTGTGTAGGGTGAGAGAAGTTCATTGTAATCGTGAACTTCAGGTTTCTCATTTATTGATGTAATTTTCGGCAGTAATTCATTGGAATATTTTACATCAGAGGACTGTCTTGATTCGTTGCGGAGATTTGGGAGTGTTATCAGTAGTCGATCAGAACTAATCAGAGTTGGTGGAATTATAATTTCTAGGTTATCAATATTATCGTTTGATTGATTAAGTGGTTCTCTTGTCTCCTTATGGTTTCGTTCTGCTGCCGGTGTGAGGGCTGGTAAGCCACGGCGTCGGCGATATTCGGATAGGGAAACACGGACTTTACGTATTTCTCGAAGTCGCAATTCTTCAGCCTGTTGTTTCACTGTAGCCTTCTTTGGAGGAAGCTATGAAAGCAAGATATATCAAAAAACTAATAAAATGAACATGAAGAAAAGTGGTGAACTTATTTCAAAGATTTATCGGTTTTGAGGTTTACCAGTCACAATTGGACAAATTATTATTCCGTGATTGGGATTTGATGAAAACACATTACGACTACTTTCCAATTAAGGTATAGTAGACTTTGATTACTGAGATAATGAAGTCACAAATTGTTAAGACGTTTGCTGCACTACATATACATGTAGTGTTTATAAATTTGGAAGAAATGAATCAGCATTAGGTTTAACGTTCTTCAAATTCTGAAACCGATAAATATATGCGCAAAGCGACTACTCAAAAACTGCTATGATATAGTCAATCAAGCATACATAATTTTGCTAATAGCTGTCTGGCACAAGCTGTTAACGCCTTAATAACTCATAATTAAATAGTTTTAGGATACTGTATACTCATTATAAGTGTATACGTCCAAACAAACATTTTAATACCACCCAGTAATTTGAAATGGTGTAAGAATTTTTTACTTCCACGCAACGAACTTTAAAATAGACTTACAGGAGCCAAATGAGTGGATAAACCATCGCAAAACTCAGTATCTTCTTTTGACTGTGAAACAGCTTTGGAGTCCTGATTGTAAATCACTTGTTCAGCATCCGGATTGTTCACTAAACGATCTGATAAAATTGCAGATCCTTCTTTCTTGAGATTGTCATCGCTTTCGAAAAATGTGGAAATAGGTAAATCTTCAGAGATCCCGGAAAGTCGGGATATAATCCTCTTTTTAGGATTAACTGGTGTGGTACATGAATTCTGTGCGGCCAAAGAAGAATCCGATTTAGTGGATAGTGAATGATTTATTGGGTGGGAACAGTTTGAAAAATTATTGTTAGACGACTCAATATCTTCTTCCATTAGAGCCTGAGAGTGTTAGCAAAAAAGTAAAAAAACGAACTGATTGTGAAGACGTGATATGACAAAAAAGCTTTCTTCCAAAATAAAACGGGATACATCTAGCTTTGTGTTAGCTTATACTCTTCCCACTAATGAAGTAGTCGCTCAGTGGTTCTGGTATTCAGTTTTCAGTAGTTAGATCATGTGTTCAGAGTTAGCTCCACCTATTAAGACTTAGGCGGACAATAGAGCATAATGTATTTGCATCATAAATATAGCTTGCAGTGGGCATTTCGCATCCCTGTTGGATTTTTTATTCACTAACACTGATAGATAAAACATTCATATTATCGCTCAAAGTGTTTATGAAACAGGGTTTTATTGCTAGTATCACATAAATACTTAGATTTACGACTCTAGGTAAATAATTAGCTCACTACGACATAACAAAGAGCGGCCAAAACTGACAACATTTGATTTGGAATAATAAGTATCATCATCATCAACAGCAATGTAGAACTTTGCAGCAGTTCAAGTTGCCGTACGATGTTAGCACAGAATAATAAGTATGCTCAGAATGTTGACAAAAATTATTTACGCAAAAGACAAAGCTAGTGATGGTTCGATAATCACAGGATATTAATGAACTCGAGTGCGGATGATTTGTACTCTTAGAACGTTCACGTAAAAAACCTGAAAAATAACTGCCTGATGTCAGATACATAAACAACTCCTAGTAAACATTTTTCCGGTTTCGTAGAGTTAGCTTTACATATTCGAAAGCTAATGTCCATAGCGGAAATTAACGAAGACAATGAGTGTTAATTTCAGGTTTCGTATTTTTAACCCTCTTCCTTAATTTGAAAGAAACCAACTATTTCGTCGTTAATGATAAAAGTCAGGCTGCCTTTCAGCAAAGTTAGCAATAAGAATGTTGGAGAGACTTGAATAGTGAATTGTAGTTTAGAAAATATAGAAATCTAACATAAAAAACTAAAACCAAGTTCAATATCCTTCACGATCGCATTACCTTTATTCCCTTATCTAAAACTTAAAAGAAGGTAACAATTTAAGATGGATAGGCTGGTTAAATTATTAAGTATAACTTGGTTTGCAAGATATTAAAAAATTTCCAATAATAATTTAATACACTTACCCGAGATAACCAACGTTTCTTAGTAGGTCTAGGAGTCTGGTGCATAAATGGTTGTGTTAAACAAGATGTTGACATATCGTCAACAGAAGTATAGACATCTTGTCTTGTGTCAGCTACTGTTTTGTCCGACATTTCATCTTGAATTGTTGAGAATAGAGAATGCATATCAAGTGAACGAGTTCTGCTAAACTTAGCCATTGGATCCTTTTCTCGAGTTCTATAAACTATGAAACCACAGTCAGCTTCAGAATCGAGAACTTGTTGATTATTACTGATTTGATTAGACGATTCATTACAACCTGTAAAAACGGTATTTTCACAACCAGAAGGAACATTGAATTTAGATAAATTGGGTGACAAATGCTGAAGACAATTATTCGAGTTGCGACCATTTTTTGATGATTCACTTTTAACACCCAAAGCTTCAAAAAGTGTAACTCTCATATTTGATTCTTCTTCAACAGCACTACCTGATGACATATGACTTTTATCAGACAACATATTCTCCATGTTTGATGAAGTGAGTTGAGATACCTCCTCGTGATCATTTAGTTCAGCGATACGTCGGAGTTGCATTTGAAGCCAACGGTCTTCGCGTGAACCACCTTGATCAACAGATGACAAACTATCAGATAACATAGCTGCTTGGGAACGCCGACGTCTTTGCTTGTGATTGACAGAACGTCTTTGATACTTAAACTTAGACCCAGTGAATTGTTTTAACTGTTTTCGTTGTAGACGTGTGTCGCTTTCTTCTGAAATATTATTATCACAAACTTTCGAAGGAGTTATATTTACATTGTGCTTCACATCTTGTGACAAATAAGAAATAGTATTTGATTCACGATCAAGCAACTCAAGCTTTTCCAAAATGTTTGTGGATCCCACGTGATTCGATTGGGCTTCATTGGTGATAATATTTGCAATCTCCTTATTACATCCTGATGTTTTTAATTTAATATCAGAAATTTCCCCAGTCTCCATTACACCATCTGTTGCCTTGACTTCGTTATTATCTAAAACTGAGTCAGCTCCCGGAGATTTTTCAGGGGGAGAGAACTGGTTCGAATCATTTTTAATGCAATCAATGTTTTGGCTACTTTTCAGATTAACCGAAGACACGCGTTGCTTTAATCGCTTTTTTTCCATACGCTCTATACGACGTAAAACCTCTGCCATCCATACATCTTCTTTTGACTTCTAAACAATACAATATAGCACTGTATACTTTCAAACGGTAAATTATTTAAATGAATATATAATTTTATACAAACAGTAATCACATCTATACAATTTGGAAACTGAATTACAATGATCATGCAACAAATTTTGATTTAACTGATAATCATCCTATTGTACGGATCTCAACATAAGTCACTTTAATATACTCGGCTTATCATTCAGAAATTACTCTCAATTATGTCGATTGTAATCGTGATTACAAAAATAGACAAAAAGGTATAAAATAATTTCTTTTCAAATTCCAGAATTCAAAAACAGATAATTTGATGGTGACAAACGTATATATAAACTGATGAAAGAGGATGTTCAGAGTTAAACTGTTCTGATCAACATTTTCTTTTACCAAACTCTAAACTAATGATGAATACAAGCTATTTATGAAATACAGTCCTATATCAAGTTAAAATGAAACTGGTAGAAGTTTTACATGCTATCAAGTATCAAGTAAAGAAATCAAGATAGTCTACTACGGTAGCCAATTGCATTTTGATATTTACTCTAGGAATATATATTGCGTAAAATCGTGTACAGATCAATGAATATGTCAATGTGAAGTGACAGATTTAGTGTAAGTGAATAAAAACTTTCTATTAGATTTGGGATTATTGAAAATAATAGAAATTTAAAATAACCTATGTGAATTGCGTATCTTCACGACTAAATTTATAGAAAATACGTTTGTAATTTGGTAGAAACAGTTAAATTAGCGACAGTGGTGATTTAATTTTTGATGTTGAAATAAACAACAAAAGTTGGATTACAACGACTAACCTGATCTTCTTTTTCTTCAAGTGAAATACTTCTTTTACGTGATATAGAAACATGATCGTCGGAGGTGCTTATCTGTGAACGCCGTTTTCCACGGTCAGCAAGTGATGTTGGTCCAACCTGAGGAAAAATAGATTTTTAACCAATCTACATGTCATAATAAATGAAGATATTTGCTGAATAAGCGTTTGGTGGGACTTTAAGAATACTACTCTCTAGAGAACACTGATCTTTGGAAAGTGAGTACAATAACTAAACTGGAAATTTTTTCCAAAACGTTATGTCAAATGTATAATATGACTACGAAGTACGGTTATTAACCAATATCTTGCACTAAGAAAATTGCTGCTCTTTGATGTTAAGTGAAGACACAGTAACTATGAAATTGAAATATCGCATAGATATGGAATAGTACTATAACATAAAACATTTATGTGATGCCACCTGAATGACTGAAGACCATGTGAATGTGTTTGAACCTGAACCATACTTTGGTTTCGATTCCAATCCTATACAGACAGACAAACCAACTGCGTGAAAATAAATTCTACAGAAAAACGACAGATTCCCAATAAATACTTTTCAAATATTCGAAATAAGATGAGTTAGCTACTGCATTGCACACACTGAAATAATTAACAATTAATTAACGATCACCAAAGACTGACAAGTTTATAAGTGAACTACAGTCATGTTTACATCCTAATCGAAAACTATTCAGTTGAGTTTTATGGATAGTTTGTTTTACCCAAAAATTATTGCATTTCGTATATACAATAGTCAGAATGAAGTTCAAAACTACATATTTATGGACAAAAGATTATAAGTGGTAACTATCCACAGTTTGGGTCTAAAAACCGTTTATGGAGTATTCAGATTTTACGAACCTTAATTACAGTGGGATTCAGTGAAATCTAAATAATGTTAAAGTTCAGTGCACACGATACCAGCGACTAATCAAGGTTAACAGTATTTGCCAATTAAAAAAGAAATGATTTTAAAGGTTTGAAAAAGACATTTACAGATTTGCGTTTCAAAGTATGACTTCCATGCACTTCGGGTTTCACACGGTTCAGGTCAGGTGATTTAGGAGAATTATTGGGGATAGAATGTTCTTTTGGTACACTAGAATTAAGATAGTCCTGATGGAAGTTAGACTGTGTATATTTTTGAGATACTGATTTATCTGCAAACTGTTCTGGTTGTACATCATATTCCGGTTCTGTATCAGCATCTAAATCCTCTCCCGAAAATTCGCTATTCAATTTACGGTCAATATCCGTTTTATCAATAGTTTCTACTTGACTGTCTTTGATAGGTGACTTTTGTGGAGAGTCATTTGTTTTAACAGAAACCGATCGTAATCCATCTGAGCAATCTATTTCATAAGAGCAACCACCTTTACTGGAAAAATTATGCGAATCTGCTTTCCTATCTACGTTTACAAGACTATCATTAGGTGATGACATTGGATATTGGCCACTGTGAGAGTAGGAAGCACGTTGCGAACGACGTTTTCTGGTAGTTGTTAAAGATGTCTTAGAGTTCGGTTTCCTAAGGTACACCATTTTGGAAGATAGACGCTCTGTTCCACGCTTGTTACACACGCCAAGAGAACTAGAGCTTCTTAATCGACCCCGTCCACGGCCTCTTCGATGAATAGCCTTACGAACTCCACATGAAATGCCTGACTTTTTAAGGTGACCACGAGTAATTCTGTTAGCTTCTGCTTGATTTGATCCAGAAGTTCGTCTACAAAAGTAGTAGTTACAAAAAACTAGAAATCAGTTTAGAACAAAAATAAACTTCGGAAGAAAATCAACAATAATAGTCGTACATATTTTGAGAACGCTTTAAAGATACGAATATATAATAGCTGTAAACGTTTACGACAATAAACATGGAGATCGGATTAAACAAATTAAACTAAACATTTAAAATATCCGACATTTGAAAACTCATCATGGTTAGGAAGTAGTTTTATAATTTTAATTTAACTATCTTATCAAACAGACTAATTTAGATTGGCTGTTGTTTGAATTTGAGCAAATAACTCCTACAGCTCAAAAAAAAACATGAATCTGATTATGAGAAAAACGGAGGTAATTCAATTAGTAAACAAGTTGATAATTTTTAGATTTTTTTGTGTAGGATTTACTATTATAATACACCTTTTGTAGACTTAAGCTCTACGTCTAGTACAGCAAGTTTAGGTACAATAACTGTTTGTTTTACTCATTTTTGTGAAATGTTTGCCAAAGCACCACTCTCAGTGAAGTTATAATGTGGAAAATGGCATTGAGGTTATATTCGTTTTCAGCTAATTAGAAAACAGATAGGATATGTAATTTGTAGTGGAATACAATGTAAATTAGTTTCTCAGAATTCATGATAGGACAGGTAAGTTACTTCCAGGAAAGTTCGGACTGGTGGACTGGAACTCGTATTTTCACTCTCGAAGCGTTTAGCCAGGAACCACGATTTACACGAACCATCATAAAGAAACTTCGGAGATTCAGATACAAATAATAAATGGTTATATGATTTACTGAACAAAGGATTATTAGGGGTCACAGAACATATAAAAGATGGGAATTGTTTTGATGACGTAATTTAATGACTAGGCTATATGTATAGGCTATTCAGGCATACAGGAAAACTCAGTTAGTCATAAACAATGTAGGACCTGACACAAGTGTATCGATCAACGTTACCATATCACATTAGCGCAGAGATAAAACTATCAAGATGAATACAAAAGTAGTAGAAATACTAACGATGATACAAAAATCATATTAGGTATGGAAAACATGAAGATAAACGGTATAACTTTATTGCTCAGGATTCAGAGGAAGACAGTGAATGCAGTCAAACTGACTTAATAGACTAATGGTGAGTTTTGATTTCGCAACCCAATGCTTTCCTCCAACTTATTTCTTCAGCCGAAATGGGCGGCTTAGCATGAACAAATGTTCTAAACATTTCAGTCGATGAAGATTCATTATCTTATCAACTGATTTACTACTACTGCCTATCACCCTAAATCTACCACAAACACTACCTAGTGGTCCAAAAAAACGCGGCCAATGTTCCGAGAACACTTATGGTTAAATAATAGCAACCCATGAATATCCCTTAATTTTGAAGAACAGGTTTCAAGGAGAAAAATTAAAACAAAGTGGATTGTTGAGCGGCATATTCTCCCCTGTTAACAGAAGAATATCTTACCTAAACAACATGTGATGTGGGTTTTCAAAGGCCAGGCAGGCATTCAGAATTCGTAGCATAAAGTAAAACTTTACAAATGGTCAAACACACTAACTAAGACTACTTAAATATTTCACTTACGATTTATCTTATTCGCAATCACTAGTCACAAGAAATTTTGGTACCTTGAGATAGAACCCATACTTATTAAATATTACCGTTAGAAAATTATATATTTAAGGGTAAGCACCAACTTGCTCCCTAGTTCCTTTGGGATTTTAATTAAACAAGCCAATTGGTCTGAAGCATTAAAAATTGTGAACAATTCACAATCTTTAAAAACAACTTTAAGATTAGTTATTAAAAATGAAACTATGTAAACCGCATAAAGAAATTCAGCTGTTTGTTCAGAAAACGAAGGACGTGAAATTCACGATAAACGCAAAAATCAAAAACATCCTTACTCATTTAAAATAGAATTTGGAGGGTGACGATTTGTTCGACTAATATGGAAGTTCCTCACACTAGTGCTGACGGGAGATTTGGGGCATAAAACAGACTGTTCATCAGAAAGATTCTTATCGTCATAATGGTACTGGGAATTGTGCGACAGACTGAGACCTCGAGAATTGCCATTGACCCCATATGAACGGGGTGAATGCGGTAATTTGCGAGTGCATACCAACGAGTGGCGAGTTGAACTTCGCAAAGGGTTGCTTAACTGATTCATTCTTTGAAACCAACGGGTAACCGGACAACCCTTGAGAATACATGCACATTGAACAAGATATCGGCACGCAGTATAATCAAAATCAAAAGGTAGCGTTATTTCAGAAGACTTTGGGATAAGCCGTGATGCAACAACGACAAGACGAAGCTGAGGAACGGGTTCATCATGCTGATCATTGGAAAAAGAAATGCAGTGGCGGACCTAGAAGGAAAATTAAGAACTCAATTTCAAATCATGTGGGAGACATCAAGCACAAAAATATTGATTGAGATTGAACGAGTAATTATTACTCGTTGAACTAAAAAAGGTATCAGTTAGTCAGTCAGTCAGTTCCAACGTGTAACTTCGTAAGTAAGTACACCGACCGAAGCTGCTACCTTGACATGGTGGTCGAGCTTGCCTCTCGCGATGACCCAGCCGAGCTATACTGGCTGGAACACATGTTCCTGAAGGTTCTACCATGCCAGGCAGGTCGATTGGAGAACGATCAGACTAAAAGCAGCTAATCAAGGTCTGAGGGCGAAGTCGTGCTGCTGACTGTAGAGAGGTGTGACATCACAAGGTGTTTCCTTCGGACAACCAGCATCTGCAGCCATGCTACCTTATCACAAGGGAGGAAGGGTTAGAAAAAGTCGACCCTAAAAATGTCACACCTCACCATACCTCACGGATTTCTGTCTCCGGCGGTAAGGGTGCCAACTAAGGGCTTTTAAGCGCAGAGCTAATACTCAGAAATCCTTTTATACAAAGACCGTGCGTGACCGGCCTCAAGCAGTTGTCCCTTGGGCTCTGTGGTCACGCTGCCAGGTCTCTAGGACCAACAGTAATCTATCTTCTTTTCCAGGTCCCCCAAGAAACAACCTTCCACGCTGTGGGCAGCCGGGAAGTGGCAACCACCCTCATACCCGTAACAGCACACGAAACCAAATTGGTCAAAATCAAATCCTTCCTACACCCCCTAGTACCTCTCTTATCTCCGCGACTAACTCTCACATTCATTTATCACACTGCACAGCTAATGCAAACAATGCGAGTTCACGAAACGTCATTTCTGGTCTCCTGAAACCCCGTTCTAGACTACATGTTGGAGCATTTAAAGTACGTACATTATGTCAAATAGGGCAACAGGCTTCGTTAGCTAGAACTTTAGAATCACGCGCCATCGATGTATGCTGCGTCTCAGGATTGGCTTGTATTGGTACCTAAACTAGTGATAGGGAGTGAAGTAGTCGAGCGTGTTGATTTCTTCACTTATCTGGGGAGTTTCATCAGTGCTGATGGCCTGGTGTGTGACGAAATCTCAGCACGGATACAGGAAGCTCGATCGGATTTTGCCAACCTGTCACTTATGGCGTAGGCAAGATATCCGTTTGCTGACAAGTGTACTGTGCAGTAGTTTGCTCCGTCCTGCTTTAAGGGTGTGAAACATGGACAGTCAGAGTAAAAGATTGTTAGGATATTCACCAAATATCCTAAGAATACTATTTTTAGAAGTACAATCCTATTGGTCGAAATTATGATCGTTCTAACTGTCAAAGTCAAATAATTCAATGTTGCCTCTTATTGGTCATCTGGACTGTCAATGTCATTCAAATGTTCTTTTCTATTGGTCGTCCTAAAATCTCAATGTCACAGACGTTGATGCTCTTTCTTATTCTACCTTAATGTATAAATACGCACTATCTGAAAGACTGAATGATTCCGATTCCGTTCTTGCTGCCTACCTCTCTTCTGTTCTCGACCCAATAAACAACTCCATCCCAGTGTTGCGTTCTGATATATAGGAGATTTGGAAATAGCATTTTGGGTCGTATTGGATATTTGGATTAGACGCCGCTAGGACTGAATAGCTATACGTAGCGGCGTTACAACAAAGATATTCGTAGGTTGTTTGTTTTCGATCATAGGGGTGGCCAATCCAAACCGTTGCAGAAATCCATGAAGTCACCGACAACTGGATTGAGCCATGTCGGTAGGTGTAGACTACCTGGTCGGGGCCTGCAAGATGATAGTAATCGATGGTTAGAGACCCTGAATGACATGGCTCAAAATCGTTTGTAGTGGCGCAGGTGCATCCACCCTTTGTGTTCTTTCAAATTGTAATCTGAATTCCTCATCATGTCTATCCTTCTCTTTTTAAATTTATTTTGAATAGCTTATGCTTCTAGAACAATATTTTAGATCCCTAATCTCTGATTACTGCTAATACTTTTACTACCTCTATTACTATGGGATTCGAATTGATAATTGCGTCTCTGTGCCAATGTGGTATGGCAGACAGACAGACAGACAGATATAACGCAGAACTTCGTACGTAAGTACATCAGTTCAGGTTGCCATACCACGCCAGTAGAGACGAAACTGTTAGTTCAAACCCAAGAGTGATAGCGATAGTAGAATTATTAGCAGCATTGAAGAAGATTAGGGAGCGAAGATTTTGAAATTATAATTCAGTGAGATAAATTTAGAAGGAGAAAGATAGAGATTATGAGGAATTCAGATTACAATTTGAAAGAACACAAAGAGTGGATGCACCTGCGCCACTACAAACGATTTTGAGCCATGTCATACAGGGCCTCTAAACATTGATGACTTTCGTCTCGCGGACCCCAACCAGGTAGTCTACATCTACCAACATGACTCAGTCCACTTGTCAGGGACTTCATGGATTTCCGCCACGTTTTGGCTTGGCCACCCCTAGCTTTCTTCCAACCTATTCCTACGCCACGAAACATAGCTCGACGAGGCATTCGGTGGTTGGGCATTCGTAACACATGTCCCAACCACCTCAAATGATGAAGTCTCACTACTACTTAGGGTGGTCAGAAGACTGCATTTTGTCAGTCTTCACCGAATAGAACTATGTCATCGGCATATTCTAGGTCAACCAGTGAATCTCCTGGTGGAAGGTCCACTCCTGAAGATTCAGAAGGAGATAATGTTATATCTAGCAGCAGGTCTATGACAAAATTTTTTGAAGAGTGGAGAAAGTGGACTGCCCTAACAGACACCACTTGAAGTGGAGAACTCCGATGACAGTTCGCCATAAGCTCTCACCCGACCAGTAGTTTTCGAGTAGAGAGCTTGTATGAAGTTAATGTACTTCTTTGGTACACTTTCTAATGACAGACACTGCAAAAGAACCTCACAATCTATAGAGTCGAATGCCGCCTTAAGGTCCAGGAGGTGAACTATTGTCGGACGCCTAAATGTGTGTCTGTGTTCCAGGACCTGTCGTAGTGTGAAAATGTGGTCTATGCAGCCACGTCCAGGTCGGAAACCAGCCTGGTTTTCCGGGGTCTTCTCTTCACAAGCTCCAGTTAGGTGTCAGTACTATCACAGCTATCATTTCAGACATTAAAATAGTTAGCCTTTATCCTCTACGATTGTCACACGAGCTCTATTGCCTTTCTGATAGACCAAGACAATCAGTCATTGACACCAGTCAGATGGAATTACGTTCAGTCCCAAGATTCTACCTAAGATCTCTGTCAACCTAACTGCTAAAAATCAGTCAGTCAATAAAATCTGGGATCTAACAAGAATGTATATTTCCCAAATTGCCAGTTTCCACGTAAACACAAGGACAGATTATCAAAATGGAAATCCAGGGATGAATAATTCAAGCGTAATGGAAAACTAAAAGTGATTAATATAGGATACGACAATTTCAAGGATCCAGACTAGTAAGTCTTCAATTACTCCATGATATAGAAAACTGATGTTTTCACGGAATGAGTTGACGTTAACATAAATGGTAAAAAGTATTAACCCCTAACATATTTTACTGGACCTATTAACTAGTGAGCAGTTAACATTTTTAAAGTATTGCTGTTGTTACGGCAACTAGTAAATGAATCCTTAGGATAAATTAGCACCTAAGTTGAAGTTTGTAGGGTCATTTTTAAATGACGTCAAACTTTCATCACATAACACATAACACATCACATAACATCCTGTGAGAAAACGATTGTCCGAATGTTTTTGTAAAAAGAAATTCTAGTGTTATGACTAAAACTACGGATAACCACGACGAATTAAAATTAACAGAGGAAAACTTACTGTATTAAGATGGCACTTAGAGTCAATTTGTCTGAGGGGAAAACTATAATATCTTCCAATAAGGCTAATATTAATGATTATTGGATTATTAAAAATGAATAATACTAGATATTCATCAGAAATAAAGAGTACATCACAATTTTATCAACAAACCAGATTACCTCAGAATTAGGTGTACATGACCGACGGATAAAGCGTGCTTCATTACCATACTTGCGAGCATCGACACAGAGAGGCAACTTTGGCAAGGATTTGTAGAACAGTACAAACGGATTGTAACTAAACGAAAGTGACTAGAGAAAAATTATAGTTACTTACTGCTTACGATAGTCGTACATATCGTTGTATTCACCAAGTAACAAACAATTACCACGGTACTCAATAATTGGAGTACGAGGACAAATGTCTTCATTTGCTATTAGGCCCTGAAAAATAAATTTTAATTTTAAGTATTAAAAATAATGAAACGATCTCATGCTAAATGATAAAGTTTAGGCGATAACATGTTTGTTCAAAATATCTCACCCTGCGATTAAAGTCGAAAGTAACGACCTCGTAACGACACAGACGCTCAAGATTAGGGGGAATTTCTTCATTAGAAATACCATCCATGTCACCAAAATCTGCCCCCATACCAGTAAACAAAGGACACATTAAACTGAGTTTCTTACAAAGACGACTTGAAAGATGTAGAGTTTGGGCTTCTTCATAGATATCTGATGAAGGAGATAGGACAGAGTCAGGTGTTGGACCAGGAGGAGAGGTACGGCATACTTCATTTACCTGGGTAAATGTATTTTGTACCTTACTATTTGTACAATCTGTAATTAAACGATGTACAATGCTGCTATGACGAATTTGCACTTTATCTGACACAGGGATTGGATGACTTCCTTGAGTTTGGCATACAGAGTCTAATGAACTCTCCACGAAGCAACTCTTTAAATCATTGGAATAAGATGTTCGAATGTTTGACAAGTCATCGTAGTCATCCGAAACCGGTGGTGAGCTTGAAAAGCCTTCAATGCCTGCATTAGCAGATGATCCACCAGTGACTATAGGAAGGAAAGATAGTAAACACGAGACAAAAAATAAGTTTCAGTAATAAGAGAAGAGGACACAAAATAAGGTAATAACAAAAGCCGTTTGTAGAGATATTTTAACTATGAAGAGCTAAAACAGTAACTTAGGTCGTTTGGCGAACAGGCATTTATTTTTGGGTTGTATCCCGATAGCTTGTTACTTTTCATTGAGAATCCATTCTCCTTTCGAATCATATTTATTTGGATAATCTTTCTCACTAACATTGATAATACTGCCATAGCATTATCTGGATGTGTTGATGTGATGTGGCAACGTTGACAGATGCAGGTTTCATGTTGCTTGCGACTGACTGGAAGGAAGATGGATTATTTTATCTCTTAATCTCCTAAAGGAAAGCTTTCGGTGGGAAACGTACTGAGTTTAATCATATTTGGAGTAATATTTTTATTTCGCTAAATGCATTCCTTAACCGGCGCACTGAATTTCACTTTACAAAGATCTTGCGGTTTTCCATATTCAAGTAATATTTGGAGACCAATGATTATCAACACTTATTAGGTCGTACAAAGATACGTAGCAGATACACTGCTTTTCTGTAATATTGAGTTTTTTTAAGCAAATTGTTTAATTAAGGACCCTCGCTGTCATCCTGGACAATATATCGGCGTTTACTTTACGTAGAAGTAGCGCCAAAGTAGGCACCGATTACGTACAAAGTGATAATATGGTCAGTATTTAAACAATCTTAAAGGACCCAACAACACCAAAAAGCATTCGCCTGAGCTGGAAAACCACAAGATCCCATGACGTGCTATTAATTTTATCACCACCCGATAGCAGAAGTGATAAATAGTACAAGTCATTTGATAACAAGTGCCCAACTTGTGTTTAGGATTAGTTCGTAAACAGGTTTATTTTCCCAAAATGAGAAAGCGAAGAATATTACTCAGATTACTACGTCTTGGTAACACAAGAACACTAATAAAGATGAAAATTCTCAATAAACTAATAGGCAGGTCAAGAAAAAATAAATATACATCATCCAAATATTAAGGATATGAAAGGCATTCTCAGACAGAGTTATTCCTTGCAAACATAGATTAGATTACGCACCTCAATTGACATATTCTTGAATTTCCTGATGACTCATTATTATTAAACCATTTGCCGAGTACATATTCACGTTACTTAGCCTCGAACCACACTGAGTAAAGGCTATGGTTACTTCCTAGTTGCCCAAGGGTTGAATCGGTAGTCTTAGGCGATGGGTTATCTCCCCACTAGCCGACTGCTTTACGGAAGTGAATTTCACACTTGAGTTTGTCGACCGCCGTTTTACTGAGGTATTTTATGATGGGCAAGCATATTACCTCTATCGATCTTGTAGTAATTCCAAAGTTATTTGACATCAGTGTTTTCGGCAAATATAGGACAAAAATATTTGTTTATGAGGCAACCACGGCGGACATATGTATTCAGAAACTTTCATTATGCTAAAAGCAGACTCAAGGACATTAAGCTAGGAGAAACGATTGTGCGATTAGATTTTGGAAAATACTGAGAACTAGACACGAAAATCACGTGGACGCCTGCTTTGCTGACATGTACATAAAAATAGTAAACAGTACAGAGAAAGCGTATTCTTACGTGTTAGCAGATCTTGTTTCCTTTTGGAACTTCTTACAGAGCGCCCACATGGGCCATAGTTTGAAGGGCGAGTTGCAGTAGAACTAATTTCTGAAGCCACACTAGGAACTAGATTGAACTCACTACACTGAACACCAGATATCCCTTGATTAGCTGGAATGCAGACGTGAACTTGTCTATGAGTCACACCTCCGAGCGTATTGGTTAAGAAAATGCGCCCTGATGACGCATTTGTCCCAATGGGAGTACGGGAAATTCGAATGTTAGCAGTTGTAGTTGATCCAACACTGCTAAATGAAGTCAGATGAGGCCGCTGAATAGTAACAGCCTTTGATTGTGCCTGGCATATTTCGCAAATATATGGTGCTGACAACTGACTTTTGCAAGTAGATGATATACATTCACTGTGATACCAAATTCTGAAAAGTGGTTAAGTTTTGATATTTATGACAAAAATATTTTACCTGCACTGATTACACTGAACGAGGTAGCCATCCAGATTTGTGTTTCCACAAACGCACCGAACAGAATCACCACTATCAGTAGAAACTTGACGTGGAGCAGTTGTAGCAATCTGAAGACCAGGCAGACCAGTCCGTAGGACAACATGTGGAGTGAGAGATGAACTAACTCGATGTATCTGAAGAGGAGGATTCGCATTCCCACCGGTAGTTGAAATCAAGATTGTCCGACTAGGCAGAGAAGAAACATGACTTGTCGCTGTAACCAGGGATTGTCCGCTAGTGGCAGTAGAATTTATTTCCGAGTTGCACACGACCGAACGTTTAGTTGATGAGCCCAACGCATTTAGTCCAACTAAACCCACGGATTTAGTTGAAGCTACGGAACTTTCTTCAGAAATCCAGTTGGTCCGAAAGGTAGACTGGAGTGTGCCGGACACGTTTTCTTCAGAATTCTCCGTGCTATCATCCTTCGCCAATGCTAACTTAGCCAAAAGAGACAAGCGATCATCGGGTTCGACAGATCTAATATGTTCTGAATTTGGTTTATAAGACGCATAATTATGATCCTGTAACTAAGTTGAGTGAACAATAGAAACTTACATTATAAGGAAGTCCCCAACATCCTTCTGACTCACCATAAGTCACAGCATGAAAAGGATACTCATCAGGGTCAGATTCATTACTGAAACTCGATATCGAAAAATCAAGCTTACTTTTGGTATGAAAAACAAACTCGTTTGCTCAATCTCTGTGTGTCGTAAACGGAAATCTCAGAACCATCGTGATTTAATATCACTGTTCGACCAACATCAGGTGGTTCGCTCGAGTAATCAGTGGTTTCCACAGGAGAGTCTGGAGTATCCTCAATTACCGCATCCGACTCTGAAGAATCATTGAGTGAGCTGCTTGGTCGACTCAAAGAAAAAAAGTTCAAGTTGTTGATTTGTCGATGAGGATGGATAAGGGCATCCATCAGATTTATATGTGATACCAAGCCTGAAATGATAGAGAAAAGTTTCTAACATCACAATAAGGTATCAGATTGTTCGTATAGACAAACTATAGGTGCAAATTAGTAAGGATGTCGCTTTGTTACGAAGTATCCACTACCCATAGTAATTAAAAATGACAACTATATCGATGTAGGAGAAATATGTCCTAGATTGGAGACTAAAACAGACATTCAAAATACCTGACAACTGGAAGAATCTGTTGGATCAACACGAGTAACCATACGGACAACTTGAAATGAACCCAACAATGAAACAAAAGCAATTTATTTCAGGATCTTTTATGTATGTAGCAAGGATATCCGAACTGGTGATAATCAATTTTCATAGAAAAACACTAAACAAATATTTGCATCTTCATTACATCACAAATAGATCAAACCAGAGAGCTGTTAAGCTCAGAAACATAAGAATAATTACAACGGAGGTATTTCTAGGTAGGGAGACGACTTACCTAGCATTCCTTATCACCCAAAGCCATCCATATCGCCATCCCAAACAAAGGGATCCATACAATCAATTGTGTTGCCAAATCTGCTATGGGAATGATTCAAACACTATGCATAATATTTTGAACGTTTCAAAAAAAACCTCAATAAACCGTAGGTATTGTACCCTTAAAGATATTAAAAATGAGCAATCAATACTTAGAGCTAATATTTTCAATGTCCCATCGTATTTTTTTTCAAAGTTCAGTAGCAGGGATGGATCAATTGACTCATATTAATCCTTGAGCTTCATAGTACTTTGAAGACCCTATCCTTGTTTGAGTTCATCATTAGAAGGTGCTGACAACGCATGTTCTGTGAGAGAACTCTAGTAATTCAGTGAACAACGCAAGAAACGGAGCTTCCGATTTTCTTAGAATGTCCTGTCAGATGGTCAGTCCTAGATGGAAGAAAAAGATCAAACTTATCGGCAAAAAAACAATCCCTTATTATATGGCAAATTAATGCTATGTTGCCTACAATAAGATAACGGAAATAGGGTAGGGCATTTAAGTCCGTGTTCGCAAGATAGAAATCTCACCATTTCGGTCTCATAATGATCTACTTTTATGAAGAGAACGCGACTGGTGTAATTGACCGTTTATTATTAAAACCAATTGTAACAGTGATTGTTTTCCTGTACCTTTTCGTTTAATTGTACCAAAAACACATGGCTTACGTCGTCTGTGACCTTGAGCTTACTGACATCCGCACGGTAGTCTCTCCTGTAACCTTGGCACGATCTCGGTATTATTTCGGCCCCACGAGATCGCTAACAGATATACAATTACTCCTCCGTTCAGTTTTCTTCCTTGTCTAAATCTGATGTGAACAGGGACTCTGCTTGAACCCTACATTCTTGGTAGGGTTGGTAAACGCCATGTATAATGTCCTGAACATTTCATCGAAGTAATGAAATAACCCGCGCATAACCCATCAGATCCTGATGACTTTTGCAGCGAAAGCCTCACGATTATTCGTAATTCAAAAGTTGTTTCTTCATTTGGACCTCTAAATTCTTATAACCCATCACTTCATGTTACACATTTTGGCTTACTATGACTTACATAGATAGTCTCAGTTAATTATATGAATCACTTTACTCCAGCTCTAATGTATCACCTACACATCCATTAGACCAGTGAACACAGGCTGTTCTGTAATATTGTCTCATCAGACTTACAGTATTTAGATCTCCAAATCTCCATATCTTCGGAAAAAAGTAGAACAGATGGCTTTACTACATTATCTACATAGAGCAAAAAGTATTTCGAAGTATCTTGGTAAACTTTGCTTACAACAGATTTTCATTTTGACAAGGCCTTGTTTACCCCTACTCGTTTTCTCCTGTTGCTAAAAAAGTCGCGTGTCTGGTGTAAAACTGTCGTTTTATGACTATTATACTTACTAATAACCATGGTTTATACCTTTTCTTTGTGCCTCATTGGTTGAATTAATTATCTACATATGGGCCATGTTCTTATTAGTTGAAACATTTTGAATAGTCACCCATTCTGAACCGTCATTTTCACTATGGGCTATTTCCAATGAACTATTTTTCTTGTCTCATTACCTTTAATGTGAGCCTAAATTTAGTCAATCGTGACTTGTTGTAGAACCAAATTCATGTCATTTTTGCAATATATATATATATATATATATATATATATCAGAGTAACCAAGGCGGACTTGAATAAATAGTGGTTTATTCAGGTGGATTCAGCCGCATTCCTGGGGAATCTGATATCCCGTTCCTAGTTTCATTATAAAAGCAAAAATCTCCAAATTTTGACTCAAGACCTGGGTGAAAGATCTTTCCAATGGTTTAACTTACATCTACGAAAATTAAATGTACTGGAATATTCACATCTTTCTCCACAGTCCAACCTTCTCATACGACGAGATCTGTCAAGCGTGACGGTACATTCTTAAAACCATGTTATCCTCTGAATAAAAGATAACTCTCGTCTAAAGAGCTTACATTAATTAATTTTCTCCCTTGGTTCAGTTAATACACTTGTTAGACTAACGGGTCGATATATGCTAACCAAGTCTCTCTCCTTCACGTTGTGAATTATTTCCTTACGCCTCTTACCCCTAACAGAGCATAGGTTGCCGACCACCATTCTCCCAGCACAATCCTGGGCCCCTTTTCTACCCAATATCTGTCCATTCACTTCATGTCTGGTTCCAATTCTTAGCGTGGTTTGTGATTTAATCTTCTTCTTTCCTTATGACCTTGAGATTCCCTAATTAGGGTATGCCTTGTGATGCAGTTGGGTGACTTCCTCCAGGTGTGTTCCATTCACCATCAGCGCTTACTACAAATTTCTCCTTCTACTGGAGTCTGGTTTGTTTGATCGCGCAGTAGGTTATTGGTGATAGTGTTAGGCTAACAGATCCATAGTATCAAGTGTAAACGATTGTTAGTAAATGCCTGCATCTTTTTGATGGTGGCTTTCCTGCTGCTTCAAATTTCTGCCCCACAGTGTAGAGCTGTCTTAATGTTTGTAGTGGATATTTTGACTTTGGTACTTGTTGACAGTTGTTTTGAGTTCCAGATGTTCTCCAGTTGTAAAAATGCTGTCCTTGCCTTGACGATCCGAATCTTCACATCTGTATCATATCAATCCTTTTGATCAATAATGGTGTTCAGACATATAGATGTTTCCACTTCTTAAAGAGCGTTTCTAGCAAGTGTGATTCAGTTGGATCATGATTTTTCTATTATGTACGTTAAGAAGTACTTCTGCTGAGGCTGCTGCTATATTGGTCATCCCCTCTTACATTTGTTGTTGGGAGTGCGATAAAGGATTCAGATTACCTGCGAATTCTAGATCGTCCAGCTGCATTTTATCTGTCCACTGTATCCCGTACTTCCTAATAGAAGTGTCCGTCTTCATGATCTAGTAAATCACCAGGAAAAAGAGAAAGGGTGAAAGTAAGCAACCTTGTGCGACACCAATTTTCAAATGCAATGAATGTGAGCTATCCCCCATGCACAATTATGTTTAGTCCATCATGAGAATTCCGAACGATTTAGAACATTTTCTCAGCCACACCAGTGTCAAGGAGGCTTACATTATGTTATCCTAATCATGCTATTAAATGAAACTGATGTACACTGGTAAGTTCCATTCAACTGATTGTTCCACAATGATCCCTTAATATCGCGGTTTGGTCGGTACATGACAGCACCTTACGTAATCCGGCGTGCTGATCTAGAAATTCAAAGTTTACTGAATGTTTGTTTTAATTTAGCAACACTATTGAAAACGTTATATCGCACTGAAAGCAGAGTAATGCCTCTGCAGTTTTCACAATAACTAAGAACACCTTCCTATGGTACTTTCATGAGGTGTCCTTCCTTCCAGTATAATGTTGAAGTGATCGTTTCCTCAATCCTTCTCCAGTTGTTCCCCTTGGTATTTTCCACTCCATTGAGTAGATCGTGCAAGACCTGGAACTTATAGCTGATGGATATCCTGAATACATTGAGTTTCTTCAGTATCCTAAGAAAGGCCATAGTAAACCTTTGTGATGCTGTGTGCCCCGTTGTACAATGATTTTTGAGTTTCAGCTTCATCTTGGCAACCAGTAAGTGATGATCTGAGATCATATAAGCTCCCCTCTTGGTTCTCGCATCCTCTGTGATCCTTCTGATCTTTATGTTGATACAGATTTGCTCGATTCGATTCTGTGTAGTATTATCCGGTGAAATCCATGTGGCTTTGTGTATGCACTTGTGTAGGAATATTGTCCCGCCTATGACCAGTTTGAAGGCACTTAGGTTTTCAAACCTCTCACAATTTTTGCGCCTTTCTCACAGTCCGTATTGCTCCATGATGTCTCCGTATCCAGTACTTTCCAGTCCTACCTTGGCATTTAGGTCTCCCATCAGAATGGCAAGTCTTTTGTCTAACATTCCTCAAAGACTGACTGTAGCTTCTCATAGAGTTGATTTTTTCCATCCTCATTGTTGTCACTTGTATACACAGCACAGAATGATATACATTATAATGCGCTTTCTTTGTTTTCAAACATGCATTGATGATCCTGGTTCCATGAAATTCCCATCCTATCAGTAATTTTTTTGCTTTTTTTGGACAGAATCGGTGCGACTCCACGTGTGTGTGGAGCATTTTCTTCCTCATGGCCATCGTGAAGATAGTCTATTTTATCCAGCATGCGTCCAAAGCATTTCACTGATTACAAGTGCTGTTGTGCACGAAAACCCAGGTGAGGACATCAACAATATATTTAGGCGAATATTACTGAGTTGTTAGGCATATTTACAAAACGTTCCCGTGAATCATCATTTGCAAACTAATCCTTATTTGTTTCAGATTTCAGTGTTCTTTCATTTAGACTGTTCAGACTTCAGTTCACTTTACGTTACCTACAAATCGCCTTCTGTCCTCATTCTTTCCTTCACGATCTTTTGCTGTCAGACGTTTGATTTCCATTTGATACCATATACTACTTATGTGAACATAAGTACATACATAAGCGTACAAACATAAGCGTACACTACGCTCGTCTCCCCTTTTAATAAGTTGTTTTCGCAGTCTTTCCGATGGCCGTGGCCCCGTCTTCTTGATTACCGTTTGCGGTTCGCACTCATTCTGCCCTTGAAACCATCTTTGCAGTTGAAAAGCATTCACGCGTTTTTGGTTATCCCCTCTCAGTATCGTGTAAACAGAGCCACGTCTCTCAATAACAATATACGGTCCTTCCCATTTCGGGAGCAGCTTCTCTGATCCTTGACCCCATGCTACGGTGCCTTTCCGTTCTCTATATTTTACCAGGTCCCCGACTTTAAACGGCTTCCACTGCTTACTGTGCTGTTCTGTTGTTGTGTGCGACATCTGTTTCTTCTTTATATTGCTGACTGCCTCCCTCCTCTCCTTCTTTAACCTTGTTGCCATCCACTTCTGTTGTTGCCGCCATGTCCCATTGTGCACTGGAAGTCGCGGATGTCTCACGTACATAAGCAGGAAAGGTGATTTCTCGGTTGTTTGTTGTATTGAGGCACGATGCACCAGCAACATTAGTGGTAATTCCTTCTCTCAATTCCCTCCTTTAGAGGCTAACCATTCC